TTTAATAAAAAAAATAAACAATCAATTCTTATATMGAGAAATAGAAATTTGGTGAAATTAATAGAAAAGAATTTTTAAAGATTGTGTGTAATTATTATTGTAAAAGTGTTTAAATATGAATTTATAATATTATTATGTATCTATTAATGCTCCAAAAAATCATTTATGTGTTTATATATATTTTTATTATATTTATAATTACGATTTAATTTTGAATAATTGACGATCAAACTTGCGACTGGTTAGTGTACCTATTAATTTTTTTTTATTATACGAGTATATATATTTTTTTGAATCAGCATGTTATTATTATACCTCGTGGTGACCAAATTATTTATTTTATTGTAATTGCCATGTTATATATTTATGATTATATTCTCCATTTCCCGTGGTGAACAAATATATTATTCTTAATTGTATAATGMCATGCTCAAATTAATATTTAAAAATGTATTATTATTCTTAAGACATGCAAAATACAAACATCATGATTACCAAACCATTACTCGCAAAAAAATCGGTTAGTAACGAATTAATAAGTTTTCCTTATAGGTAATGTAAAATGTATAGAGCGCAATTGGTAAACTCCCAATTGTCCATACCCTCCAATATGTAACACATACATATATATCTATATATAGTATATAGTATGTATAATGTTTTGGTGGTATACGCCCAAAATACGAAAATTACGTTTTGAACTGCACAAGTCCTCTCCGTCCACCAATCAATGGAATTATCTTCGTTATTATATTATTAACTCGGCAGTTGAAATTTGATAAACATCACTTGTCAYCGACTACCGCAGTTTACCCGAGTGAGTGAGATCACATTTGGCGTTCTGAAAATGAATTCTATCCATATGAACACTGCAACTGCACAAGGCAGTTTGTTTTTTGTCAATAGCTATAATAGTTTAACTCTTACACTTTGCAGTATTTAAATATCGTATACAATTCTATTACTGATTCTTTTAGAGGACACGTGTAACATAAATACGTTTTGTATGTATATTTTGTGTATTACCTTATGGATTTTTTTTTTTTATTGAATACATTTACAATAAATTATAATGGTTATCACCTATCGGCATATGTTATAATAATATTATGTTAAAATTATGTTAATATACGTATTCAGCGTCTATTTACATAGGCATGTAGATACAATACACTAATACAGGATGATTTAGTATTCACCGTGTTTGTCCCGTCAGCAACTTAGCTACTATAGTAATCCAATAATCCAAATGATAAAATACAATCCAAGCAATCGTAGCGGATATGCGAGTCGGTCGTTTGAGCGTTTTTAGATGAAATTGTAGATTATTTGAGCACAATTCAAACAAAAGGAGTTATTTTGTT